TTTTGCTTAAAATTTTGTTTTACTACTTATATTATGTATATTAGAAGACAAGGTATACCAAAAGTAGTTGAGTGGATCACAATAAAACTATATTAATTTAATCAATACATATAGAATTATTAAAATTTTGACAACCTAAAGTTTATAAGAAATTGTTATTATGCTAATGCTTGGGATTTAAGTTTCAAGGTTTTATTGTATTTAACCTTTAACTAATAATCAGGAATCAGAACTTTATTCTCATAAATAGTTTGTTTGATATATTTTATTTTAGGGACATTTATTATTTTGAGAAATTTTAGGAGCTAAAATACTAAAATTGATATTAAAGAATTAAGAGATTAATAGCATCAATTAATTATTGTATTAAAAAAGTTTACTTTTGTGTTAATTTTAATTGCAATGTAAGATTTCTCAATAGCATAGTCTATAATGCTCTCATTTTCCACCTGTATGTATATAGGTTTTATAACGATTACTAAGTTTACCAATACAAAATTAGAGTAAATTAATATCTTGTGCGTTGAGCTTCCAGTATTATTATTTACATTAATTAATTTATCGTTTTGTAAAGATTTTAACAATCATTTTACTCCTGATTAAATAATAAGAATCGGTTTTTTATAAATCGGTTGTTTAATATTGGGATTCTTAGGTCCTTTAATTAATTGTGTTTATTAGTTTTCGAAAAAACTTAAATTAATTTATTTAAAAATTAGACCAAAATAAGTCAAAATCAAATTCCCTGTTCCGAATATTTTGCAAGAAGTCAAAAGCTGAAATTAAAATAAAAATGCATATGTTGAGTTTTTTGAAAATTCTTATAATTATTAAATATACTTATAATGTAGTATTTATAGATATAAAATTATGAATCTGTAAATTTTAGTATTAATAATAATGATATTATCATAATAATCATATACTGATTTAATGTTCAATTTATATCAAAGACTCAAATCTAGAGATTTATGCTCCAGAATAAAAAATAATTGTCAAATCTCTCTAATATCCTTAGATAATTGTTAAAGTTATATATAGTATAATATTTCAGATTATGAAGCTGAGATTTTAAAAATCATTCTTGATACTTTATTAAGAGAGATATAATATTATAAATATATATTATTTAATATTAATAATAATGATATAATAATAATAATATTTTATTATATAATGAGCTTATTTTAATTAAGAATTTGTTAATTTAAGTGATCTTTTTACAAGAAATGATACAATTTAATCCAGAAAGATAAAGAGAGAAACAAAATATAAAATGCAAGAAAAGGTTTGATTTAATTTCTAATTTATTTTTCTTTTAATTTGATCCTTTCTCATTTAGATGATGATGACTTATGTGATTAATGTTATTTATTGCTAATTGAACATCTAGACCTTGAATTGCTTTGAGATTTTTCTACTTGTTCTGTTGTATTTACTTTTCTGTTCTTTACATGTCTTCTCCTTCTTGAATGAGAAGATGAATAAGAAGATTATGAATGAGATCTTGAATTTGATCTGTTTGATGTTGGATATCTCATAATATAATTAATTTAAATACCTTGATCTTAAATCACAATATTTTGTTCTACTAGTAGGTGATTGTCTATTGGAACATTCTCTTGCCCTTTAATAAGTTAAAAGAAATACCATTCGTACTACCTCACAGATTTAGAATAGTTTCTTTTGTTATTTATAATCTGTATAAATCAATTTTTTAAATATTATATTTATTCTTTATTCTATTCATTTGATTCTTTCAAATTGTATTATGTTACCTGGTTCAACATCAATCTAAAAGTTTATTGGGAACCTAACTTGCTACTTAGGATCTAATGTAATTTTATAGTTCATTAATATATGACTAAGGATAATTTTCATATTTAATTAAGCCATATGTTAACCAATGCAATTTCTCATACCTGCTGAAAAAGGCATATATACAAATCCATTATCTTCTTTAATTGGGTTTGCATTCAACCATCTCTTATAATCAAATTTTTCTGGGTTATCATAATGCTTATTTGACCATCCAGGAGCAGCAAATAGAACAAGTACATTAGTGCCTTTTTCTATTTTCAAATTTTTAATGTAATGGGTCTTCTTAGCCTTTCTAATAAAGGGTGCAAAAAGGGGAGCCTTGAAGCGAAACATTTCCTAAATGAAAGCTGTTAATTTAGTTAATTATTAAAGATGTATGTCTAGCACTTCTGTTTGACCATTCAAAACTTACACAATTTATTGTCTAATTTCTTATTATGCTTCCTATTCCAATCCTAAGAAATATAGGGTCATAGTTAAAGCATTGACTGATGTACCTGAGCCTGCGGCAAACATAGTGATAAACATGGAACATATTTCTAAAATTTCAATTTAGAATTCTTTTTCTTATTTTAAGTAAGCATCAACATAAATATCTAGAAAATAGTCTCCTTTATTCTATTAGTTAGATAATTTCTTATTTATTTAGGAGATGATAAAGTCAATTAATCTATCAACTCTATCATTCAAATGTTTTTATGCTGGACTAGGAAGGATTTTATCTCCTTTTCTTCCAAAGATCAATCTTTTTAAAACTACATAAGGATTAAAAAGATTTTATGCAGCCATTTCCTCGTCCAATTCTAAGATTTCAGCTGGGACACTCTGGCCATTTAATTTAAATTCCAATGCTTCACTTCCAAAGAAAGATCTCATAACAATTTCTGTTGTCAAATCAACTAAAAACTGGTGAAGTTGGTTGATATCTTAATTTTTTATTTTTTCAATAACAACTTGATTTACTTTAGGCATTCTTTCTTTCAATTTATCATAGGTGAAATGATTGCCCAATATTTATCTCTATTATCTAAATCTTTATCCTTCAGAATATAATATTCCTCTTGATGTGAATTTTCTTTATTATTACAAATTTATACTCATGATATAAGACATCTGCTCTTTAATATAATTCATGGTTGATAAATACTTCTTTATAATACTCCGGATCATAAATCTCGATCAAAGGTTCATGCATCAGATTACTCAATACAAATTTAACATTTGGGTTATCAAATACTCTTTTTTAAAAGTGTTTTAACCCATCTCCATATATTCGGTTTGATTTTGGTATCTATGCAAAATCTCCTGTTAAAGGATAGAATCTAATAATAGCTTTATTTCCAAGTGTTAATTTTAATAAAATCAACTTGATATAAGTTCTTAAACATGTAAAGTAGATGAACAGGATAAGCAATCCTATAAATATATACAATAACATATTTAAAATTTATTTAATATGTAAATTTGATTCATTCCTTGCGCTTTTTCAATTGGACTAGGTTTTAGGGTGAGTATTGAATAAACAATACTAAAGGGAATGTTACTTTAACACTGGGATCTACTACCACATCATATTGTCTCAAGATTTGTCCAATCATAATCTTCATAGTCATCATAGCCATGTGTTATCCGATACAATTTCTTCCACCGGCAGAAAATGGTACAAATACATAACCATTATCTTCCTTTATGGGTCTCTAACTTAGCCATCTTTTGTAATCAAATTTATTTGGATCATCAAAGTACTTATCATTCCAACTAGGAGCAGTAGTCAAAGCAGCTACGTAGGTACCTCAAAATATTGATAAGATTTACCTTTTTCGACTTTCAAATTTTTAATGTAATGTGTTTCTTTTGCTATTCTAGTTAATGGTTAAATCACAGTATTTTTAATTCTGAATGCTTCCTAAATAAAAGCGTTCAATAAAACCAACTTACCCAAATGTTATGGTTGAATATCCACCTCATTTCCAACTACATTAAGTATTTCTTATCTAATCTCTTCCTATGCTTGTCTTTCAACACCCAAATAATATAGAGTTATTGCAATTTGATGGGATGTAGTATCGGTTCCTGCAGATACAATGGAAACAAACAATTAACATAATTCTAATTCTGTAATTTTAGGTTCATTTGGCTTTTAGTTAAGATACGCATGAATATAAATATCCAAGAAATCTGAATTTTAGTTAGGCTTATAATTAGCAATCTTATTCTTAATAATGGGCATTAAAGTTCCATCTATTAATCTATCTATGCGAGCATCTAATTATTTTTCATTTTTTGATGGAAACAAACCAAATGATCTTCTTCCCAATAATGCTAATTTAATACTCACATATAAATCATTCATTTGCATATCTCCTAACTATGTTATTAAATCAATCATCTCTGTTGTAATATCATTACCTTAGACAATAATTTCTTATAATTCTTTACAAAAGAATGTTTTAATTATTATTTCACTTGATGTTTTTGTTAAGAAGTCCAACACATTAGTTTTGTCCTCCTTCTATAATTTCTCAAGTAAAACTTGATTTATTATTGGAGTTCTTTATTTCAACTTCTCAAACGTAAATGCCTCACCTAATAAAGATCTTTATTGTTTAACCTTTTAAGGTTCACCAAATAATATAGAGGTTGATGATAGTTTGCTAAAATAATGTGAATTATTTACGGATGATAGAGAATCTCCACTTTTGTATAGTTCTCATGATTGACAAGAACTTATTTATAATATTCAGGGTCATGAACAAATAAGAATATCTTATTCAAAATATTAGAAGCCACAAATTTGATATTTGGATTTTTTTAACACCTTTATTTAAAGATCTCTGTTGCATCACCATATTTTTTAAAAGATTATTGCAAAAAAAAGTAATCACCAAATAAAGGGATAAAGGATATATAAACATCTTTTCCATGTTTCAATTTTAACAACATCAATTTAACAAAGATATGTATAACAAATACATAAAGGAAGATTGCTAGGCCAGCTAAACAGAAATAACAAATCATTTTTAATTTTATTTATGCTTATTAATAAACCATAATTATGAATTAAATATTAAATTATGTTATATTTATTTACACAATTAAATTTAATCCCTTTTGACAATAATTGTGCCTGCTACTCTGTTTAATAATTGAATTAAAACATTTAAAAACTAGATAATTATTTCTAGTAAAATTCTTTTTGGCTCACAATCTTCAGTTTGATTATTTGTTACAAAGCTTAAAATTGATCAATAATCAAACTCATAGATATTGTTATATAATAGCATTAGATTACATTTAAATGCAAATCTATTTATTAATTTCTTTTATAAATAATAATTATGTTTATAAATCATTAATATTATATGAATTATTATTATTAACTCAAGTTTTACATTAAATGTTAAGATTATTATTGGTAATTCAAATTTTCATTATAATACACAGAAGGTTGTAGAGGTTGGACTTGATTCAAATCCAAGAAATTGTTAGCTTTTTATTTGTCTTTAACAAATTCATTAAAGTGATTCTAATTTTCCACTTATTCTTGGTTTTCGTATACTCCGAAAGTCATTCTTTATTTCATGTCTGTCATCGTCGTATGTTATTTTGCTTTGGATTTCTTTCTTAAGACCTCCTATATTTTATTGACCATGATTTGAGTGGATTGTGGATCTAATGACACCGACATCCAGTTTTTAAAATTTTAATCGCCAACCAATTAATGTAAATACATACAAATTTAAAATGCGTATGTTTGGATTTCACCTCCTTGAGAATTTAAAAATGAACTTAATGCTTGCAAAAGCAAGGTAAGTGTATTGACACTGAAAGACTATAAAAAGGAACCAATGGTTTGGATTTGTTTTGCCAAAACTTAAAGACAAAACTTTTGAAGTGGAACCGTGGATTTCTTTTGTCCAGTCAACTAAATTACTGCAAATAAGCCTGCTTCATATTACGAACAATTGAGTATGTAATTGCTGACCACAACCTCTGATAGTGATTAAAATTATACTAAGCATTCTTCTTTAATTTATTTGTGTTCAGAGTTTTGGGATTTCAAAATCAACTTTGGGACAAAGACTTAAAAGATTTATGGACAGATTTGCACACTTCGACCTAGAGAAAACACTTCATTTATCAATGTCACAACATTTCTTTAAATTTTAGGCTAAATATTTAATCATTTCTTACTTTCGAGTCATCTAATGCTACCATAACTTATTATCCAAACATCTCGAATAGTTGATTCACGTATTGAGGTACATACTTATTGATACACCTCAAATTTGTGATGGCTTAGAATAACTACAACCAAGCTTTCGTTCCAAAAGTAAATAGTTATTGAGTCTCAGCTGCCAATTAGGTTATTTGATTCGGATCAATTTATGGTAATTCGTTAAAACCTATGACCTAAATTGTTTGGGGATCCATTTATTCCGAAGTGCAATTTGAATTTTAATTTATTTCAAAATTACGACTGTTAATTTTCAATTAAAATCCTCTTTTGCAATTATCATTCTAATAATTCTTATATATTACCTATTTCTCACTTCGTAATCATTTAAATCCTCATTAACAATGATTACATCACTTTCAATAAAATACATTAATTGCCCTTTTATCAAACTTAGAGTCTACCATCCTCATTCCTGTAATTTATCAATAACTTTAATTTCTATTGTAAATTACAAACCCAAATCACATCCTTTAATAATTATTACAATTTAATTTTCTTACATTAAATGAACTATAAATTATTCTATCATACAGTTTTAACTTCAATTTACAATATATTAAAAGAAATAAAAATAATATTACTAACTAATTCAAGACTTTAAGAAATATATTTATTATTCATCTTTTTGCTTTGAAATTGTAATAAATCAAAATAAATTAAGAAAAATTAGATTTAATTTTGATTTGAAAGAACTAAAAGATAAAAATAATCCTGTTTAACAAAGACCAAAACTTTTGAGTACTTCCTTCTTTGCTAAATTATGATGATTATTAAAATATTTTGGAATGTTTCTTCTCATTTTATAATTTCTAGTTTCTATTAAACCTATAAATATTTATAGATATTGTTTGGCCTTATAGTTGAAATTAAATAAATTAGTTAATAGCCTCTTTAAATATGTATTAATATTTATAATAATAATAGATCAGACAACAAATATCTTTTTTTTTGTGTTTAGTACTTTATGATCGTTTTTTTAAGCATTATTTAAGAAATTATGACTAGCAATGATCTATTTATGTTGTTTTGGGTGTCCAAGATCATCTTCTTCATAAGACTTATCTGATGACTCTGATTCAATGAGATCTTCATTTTATTTCTTATAAAATTTGCATTTCATTTAAAGAATTTCATTGTCATCACATAATAGTTATGGACTTACAGATTAAAATTTTAGAGAATTCTAATAATATTTGATCTTCATTGCTCTTTGAGATTCTCCAAATTGATATTTAATATCATGAACAAATTTATATTTCTTTGATTCTGTATGGGGCCTTGTTTAGACTTATGTTTGAATGAATCTGTAATTTCTTTAATACTTTTATAAGAATGTAGAATGACTGGTTGATGGTTTCATTTGGGGTAATTCTTAAATTCTTTTCTAATGAGCATTTTTATTAGGTTATTTCTTTTTTGGATCAATGCCATCCTCTTTAGCAATGTCCTTGTTATCATTAAACGCTAACATCAATCTCTAAACAAGGCCATGTTAAGATTAGGGTCTCTTTGGTTCTTCTTACACTTCTGGCAACTCTAATTTCTTCTTTTTTAACTGATCATCTTTCATTTTCTAAGTTAATTCCTTGTATGGCTCAGCAATTGATTTTAATGCAATGTTCATAGGCTAAGATTAGGATTGAATGAGACGTCTAACATATATAAATATATTAATACTTTTTTTCTCTTTAAACAACTACTTGTTCAGGTTAAGCATAATTTCTTTACATCTCATCTAAAGAAGCTTCATTAAAATACTTATTAACTAGAAATCTGACTTTCACTCTTTCTTTTTCATAAGGGGAAAGGTTCTCCTTTTCAATCAATTTTAGAGCATCAAAAACTAATTCAATATCTTTCAATTTTTATCCAACCCAATCAAAGGGAAACTTCCAATAATTAGATCCATCATATTTAGCTAAACTTATATCAGACCATAACTCTCCTTTCATTGACCATATTTTAAAATGTTTGTCCATTGATGAACTTATAAAAGACACTAATTCCTTTATCTTATTAATTTTCACTATTGCAGAACTATGAGCAACCCATTATCTAATCAGCAAAGCAGATATATTACAAGTTAGAACAGGATTCTGTTGTTTTTCTTCTTAAACCAAGAATGTTTCAACACTCTTGGATACATCTATCAAGTCCTTTCTCTTTAATTAATAAGAATGACCCTTCTTTAATTTTTCCATCTCAGTTATTCCTTTTCTCTATAAAAACTCTGTTAATGATAGAATATGCATGTATCCTTTCTAATCCCCCATATAAAGTAAGGCCCTCCTTTTATTTTGATGTTATTCAGTATCATACTGTTAAATATCCTTCATTAAACCTTCTTATTCTTCTTATAAATTTAATTTAGATTTTTTATCTTGAGCAGTTTTATCAACCAAAGGTGCTGTAAATTCAGGCAGTAATTCCTATCTTGAAGGTCCAGATGCTATGTCTGAGAAGATGGCGACCGATAACATTGGATGCTAGGGATTGGTATTGATTCTTAAAAGACATTTATTGGTTTTAATATTCCATATGCTTATGAGTATTCCTTACAAACTCACTAAGACAGGATATGGATCAGCAAATTCTAAAGCAGTAACTTCTGCCAATGGTTATGGAGTATTAAGCACTCCACATAATTTACTTGTTTCAAAATCCCATAGAGAAATCAAACCATTTGCACTTCCAGTAGCTAACATTGTGAAATTAGGACTGAATGCCATGGATAAGATTTCAGAATTTTAATGTCCACCACAAAAGACCTTTAATAAGATTGATTCTTCAGGATCTGTTTCATCATATATTCTAATAGTAGAATCCTGACTTGCAGATATCAATAATTTCTCTTCTTGCAAGAAGATAATCGAACTGATATCCAAAGTATCCCTTTTTTTAATATTAGCCAATTTATTAGCAAACTCAGAATTCTCAATTTCATTATGCATATTGACTTTTTTGAGATACTCTCCTGTTTTCATATTGTATTATCTAATCAATCCAGCATTGTCTGCGATGAATAGTTTTCTTTATCTTCCTCCAAGGCAAAAAGTTGATAAATCCAATTGTATTTTATCATCAAATACTTCATTCATCACTTTCTTCAACCTACCACCCATTGCATCATAGATTCTCAAATCAAATTTAGTTAAAACAATGAATTAATTGAAATACATATTGAATTCAACATTTATTGGATACACTTCTTCATTAGGTCCTTTCTATTTCTAATTACTGCTCATTTATGCAGCATTATAGAAATAATTTAATCTCTTACCTGAATAAACAAATCTATCAGTCCTTGTTATTATACACAAATCAGTTACTAAAGATTATTGATCATTAGGTATCACTTACACACTACTCATTTATCGAATATCCCATATTCTAATATTTGTATGATCGTCAATACTAACACAATTAGGAGATTAAGGAATGAATTTACAAGTCACAACTAATGAGGAATGACCCTCTAATCTTCCAATATATGCTCTAGTTATTGATACTTCTGGACAATAAACATTGATAAAGGTTTCAAACCCATAACTTATTAGATTTGATCCATAGTCTTAATTATAACTCAATCCTTTAACACCTCTTTTTGATGGAGCTGGTGTTTTCAATTCTGTTATAAATTTTTAATCCTGCATATCCCATAGTTTAATTTTACCATCTTAACTTGCAGATGCCAATAACTTAGGACTAATCAGTTCTACAATATCAGTTATTTATTTTGTATGAGCATTTAAAAATTTAATTACTTATCCTTTTGAATCTTTTTCATTCCAAGGTATGCTCCACCCTCTAATATTGTAATCAGATCCAGCTGTTACCCATAATTCATGATAAGGGAAATACCAAATACCAGTTTACAATACTTCTTATTTGAATTATTTAATCACCTTAAATGTTGTTGCATCCCAAAATATCAATTATCTATCACTTGTAACTGCTGCTATATAGTTATCGACTGTATGAAAATGAATGATAAATATCTTTCCTGATTCAGATTCAGGAGCTAAAGTAAATTTTTTATCCTGACATTCGGGTGTATAGAATCTCAAATGTTAAGAGTTCTATTCTAAACAAATTACACTATCTAATTATTAACAATATGCAATCTAAAATTTAGATTATTAGTTTTACATTTTTAATAGGGTTTTTGTGATTGGAATCATCAACTTAAGCCATAGGGATATAGCGTTTAGATTTTCTTGAATAAGCTCTGTCTAGAACTTCAATTTCTGTTAATTCTCTCTCTTTTTCGAATCTGGTATCATAAAGTTAAGCGTCTTTGGAACCGATAACTGCATCAATAATATATTAAGTGAATTCAGCCCATTCCATATGACCATCTCCATTAATATCTATATCTTAAAACAACTTAATCAATCCATTAACCAATTCATATTTATCTTCTGGAGCATGAGAGATTGCACATTTCATTAACCATATAAAATTTGGTAATTCGATACCATTTGGATGTTCATGAAACTCTTTGTCCAAAGCATCTAACTTCTCATTATCTAGCATCATCATCAATCTATCTGCCTAATAAGGGTTACGTTCAACTAATATCATCTCCTAATGTTCTTAGAGATACCTATTTTATATTGTTTATATTACTTAATCACATCTGTTAAACATGGTTCGAATCGTTTAAGTAAATTGTTCATTGAATTATTAAAAATTTAAATCTTAATGGGTGAGGTAGTACGAAATCAATTATTTGTTGCTGGGTATAATGGTAACAAAATAGCAGATGATAAGGGAATCAAAGACATATTTAAGAAATATGGAAGCATTAAAGATGTTGCTTATTAAGGCTGATTCAAGATCAAGGTATTTAAATTAATTATATTATGAGATATCCAACATCAAACAGATCAAATTCAAGATCTCATTCATAATCTTCTTATTCATCTTCTCATTCAAGAAGGAGAAGACATGTAAAGAACAGAAAAGTAAATACAACAGAACAAGTAGAAAAATCTCAAAGCAATTCAAGGTCTAGATGTTCAATTAGCAATAAATAACATTAATCACATAAGTCATCATCATCTAAATGAGAAAGGATCAAATTAAGAGAAAAATAAATTAGAAATTAAATCAAACCTTTTCTTGCATTTTATATTTTGTTTCTCTCTTTATCTTTCTGGATTAAATTGTATCATTTCTTGTAAAAAGATCACTTAAATTAACAAATTCTTTATTAAAATAAGCTCATTATATATAATAAAATATTATTATTATTATATCATTATTATTAATATTAAATAATATATATTTATAATATTATATCTCTCTTAATAAAGTATCAAGAATGATTTTTAAAATCTCAGCTTCATAATCTGAAATATTATACTATATATAACTTTAACAATTATCTAAGGATATTAGAGAGATTTGACAATTATTTTTTATTCTGGAGCATAAATCTCTAGATTTGAGTCTTTGATATAAATTGAACATTAAATCAGTATATGATTATTATGATAATATCATTATTATTAATACTAAAATTTACAGATTCATAATTTTATATCTATAAATACTACATTATAAGTATATTTAATAATTATAAGAATTTTCAAAAAACTCAACATATGCATTTTTATTTTAATTTCAGCTTTTGACTTCTTGCAAAATATTCGGAACAGGGAATTTGATTTTGACTTATTTTGGTCTAATTTTTAAATAAATTAATTTAAGTTTTTTCGAAAACTAATAAACACAATTAATTAAAGGACCTAAGAATCCCAATATTAAACAACCGATTTATAAAAAACCGATTCTTATTATTTAATCAGGAGTAAAATGATTGTTAAAATCTTTACAAAACGATAAATTAATTAATGTAAATAATAATACAGGGATCTCCACTGATAAGATATTCATCAACTCTAATTTAGTATTTGTAAACTTAATAATCATTATAAAACCTATATACATACAGGTGAAAAATGAGAGCATTATAGACTATGCTATTGAGCAATCTTACATTGCAATTAAAATTAACACAAAAGTAAACTTTTTTAATACAATAGTTAATTGATGCTATTAATCTCTTAATTCTTTAATATCAATTTTAGTATTTTAGCTCCTAAAATTTCTCAAAATAATAACTATCCCTAAGATAAAATATATAAAACAAACTATTTATGAGAATAAAGTTCTGATTCCTGATTATTAGTTAAAGGTTAAATATAATAAAACCTTGAAACTTAAATCCCAAGTATTAGCATAATAACAATTTATTATCAAATTTATGTTGTCAAAATTTATACATTTCTTTATGTATTTATTTAATTAATATAGTTTTATTGTGATCCACTCAACTACTTTTGGTATACCTTGTCTTCTAATATACGTGATATAAGTAGTAAAACAAAATTTTAAGCAAAAATTCAGATAAATTTTGAGAAGTACCAATGATAAAAAGTATAAAATTACCTAAATTAATTAGCTATATATATTAGTTATTAAATCAGCATTAATTTAATACTGATAAAACTTCCCAAAACATTAAATTATATTAATTCCTAAATAATCTTCAAAATTATCTTTAATTCCTACAAATTACAAAATTGGTTCTATTGATATCAATTCAGAAGATTAAAAATAAATATAAAGATTTTCTGGATATTCTACATTTATAAACTTCAAATATGAGTAAAATTATAATGTATCTAAGATTTCTAAAAATTCTAAGGTAAAACCAAGAAGGAGTGCAAAAATAGCGAAACATCCTAATGCAAGCATAATATTGTAACCAAACTTTTAGAAATTCTGAGAAACTTCTACTTATGCTTGATTTAAAACTAAAGGGGCCTTTAATACAATTTATTATGACGATGGTGGTACTAGTAAATCGTTTTCATCCAATAAAATAAGATTGAACTCAACTTTCAAAATTGGATTTTATGAGAGTTGTTAGTTAATTTAAATTTTTAATTCATAATTGATATCTCGAGTCTCATTTGAGACTATTTCAATTACAGGAAAAATACTGATATTATAATAAGTAGGTTCAATATTAATTGAATTAAGATTAAAATCTAAAAAGTTTATGTTCCTATTAATTTAGTTTAACTTTATTAGTATATGATAATTTAACATATTGTATGTTAAAAGTTGAATTTAAAAGTACAATCTAAATTTTAGGCATAGGAAAACATTAACTTAAAAATGATAAGGAGTTGATGCAATTCCAATTTTCTTCAATTTTACATTAATTTGAGCATCCATCAGAATTGATCCTGTTTCCATCATCACATTCTTCGTCTTGGGTTATAATTCCATTTCCACATGAGAAACACTTATTATTTTCCAAAATATAATCTGATTAACATTCGAGACAATTAATCCCATAATAAACTAAGCAATCATTATTGCATTCAGATTTTTCTGGTTCACATTCAGTTGGAACAATAGGAATACATTAACCATTTATATATTCTTCTTCAACTTTACATTTATCTTAACATTTGCCATATTCACAAACTTAACAGCCTTAATTACATTAAAATTAGCATTCAAAACAACCATCATATCTAATGTCATTTCCATCGTCACATTCCTCTAATCCATTTATAACTATTTTATCACCGCATATGGGCTGACATTAATTGTTTAACAGTTTAAAATTTGATTCACATATGATACAATTTAATTCCTTATCACAAAATTAACAAAATGAATCCACATTACAAATTAACATCTCATTAACACCCATATCTTCAATAATCTGATTAACCATCATCACATTATTCATTCGAAGTTAATGCTATTTAATTATCTCCACAAATTTGCTAACACTTATTATCAACCAGCTACCATCCCTCAAAACAAGCATAGCATTTATCTTAAAGACATATTAAACATTCTAATTAGCAGTTTTATATACAAATATAACAATCATTAGTTTACTAGCTAACTAAATCTTAACAATTACAAGTTTAAACACATTACCTTTTGTTTGGTGAAAATTTAGAATCTTCTTCACATTCAGTTTATCTATCCTAGTAATAGTATCGAGTAATTAAATAGTCAGAGAAATAAAAATTCAAAAAACTTGAAATTATATTTAATCCATAATAATTTTTTTTAACTAGATATTACTAGTTAGATTTTTATAGTATTGACTATTATTGAGAAGTCGGTTAGTATTAATAACCCTTATTTTCAAAATAATCAATGCTAGATATACACCTATTTTCTATAAAAAAATAGGATTATTCACACTCTTTACAAGTTCCAAATACACAAAGAATGCAATTTAATGGACAAGAAAATTAACAATTATGGCAACCATCATATGGAATAGAATTACCATCATCACAAATCTCATTTAACATTAACATATTATCACCACAAAAAGGGATACAAGTGTTTTTTGTGTGTAAATACCAGCCATCTAAACAGTTGATACAGATCCCATTTATGCAATTACTACAACCCAAATTACAATCGTATTGATTAGAGAAACACCCATCAAATGGCTAAATGTTAAAGTCTTTACATTAATAAACTTCATATATATCAGTAAATAATGAAAAATCTCTGATTCCAAACCAAGAAGTAGAGCCATCTGTTTAAGTTAATACCTCTATTCTAAGATTTTCACTTTTATGTTCAAAATTTGATATTTCAACTTATATGACGGTGAAGTTTTAGCATATTATCATTGAAGATAGTACTTATGAATTTGAAGATTAAGTTGCTACCAATTCGTTATCAATTTTTATTTTTGCTGTTGATGTAGGATAATTGAATATCAAAACTTTCAAGTTAAAACTAATCATACTATGATGCTTCAAAGCAAAATCTTTGATAAGATTATCCCCTTATGATTTTAAATAATTGAAATCTATATAGATTTATTATCAATACCTGTACACGATGATATTTATTAGGAAATTATGTTGTTAGTCATCCATCCATCATCTAAAGATATGGAGGAGAAAACTTGTTTATTAAACGATTAATAAACTAATTCCCAAAGATTTTGAGTAGTATTTTCCACATTTAAATTAAATTCAGAAAATCCCCAATAATTCTCATTAGAGACCATAGTAATTTAAACCGAAGAACTTGAGTGAACAATATTTTGTGATATTTAATATGATCCATATGGTGGACAATTGTTTGTAAGACTGAGTTGGGAAGTTAAGATAAGTAGTTAAAGGTTGTTATCAACATATAAATAGAATTTATATTAATAAGAGGATTTACTATCTTCATAAATATAATTACATCCAAAGTTTAAATGACAGGTTGATTAAATCATGTAATGGAAGCTCAAAAGTTTTTGAAGTTAAACCATTAAAATAGTAGTTTAAGCATTGGTTCATAATTACTATGTTTGATAATCCACAATTTACCACAGAATAACTATGATATTCCATTTAGTAAATATTCCAATCTTAATATAACAATAACATACCAAAGCTTGTTGATGTAAAAGCTCCATAAAAATTACTATAAATTAGTTCTGATCTACTAATTGTTATTAAGAGGACATAAACTTTCACAAAAAATTAGTGATTTCATTGTAGATATCTCTTAGTTCTAAAAAATTAAAAAATATTGATTTATTTTATAATTATCAGCCTCAATAATTCTATTAACTCTAAAATAAATTAATTAGAAATCACTATCAAAGCTAAATGCATATTCAAGACATCTTATACTAATATGATACTTGAGTTTATTAAATATTTATTTGTATTAAATTTGGAAGATAAACTGGAGCATAGAAGTCAGTTTGGCCGAGTGGTTAAGGCGGTGGACTTGAAATCCACTGGGTTTACCCGCGCAGGTTCGAATCCTGCAGCTGACGATTTTTTCTAAGGTTGAATCATATTTAGATATAAGCGTTGGATAGATTAAATTTTTCAATTAACCTATATAATTGAATATGAACAGAGATCTTACAGTTTCCT